CCGCCCTGGTGGGCCGGGCCTGTTTTATTTCCCTGCTGAATCGGCAGGTTCGGCCCATCCCGGCCCCCCCTTGCTGCGGTTCGCCGTCCCGGGCCAATGGGGGCAGCGAGAAGCCGCGGCCAGCACATCGCTCGCCCGCGCCGCTTCTCGCCGCCCCCATTGGCCCGGGACGGCGAACCGCAGCCACTGGGGGCTGCGATCGGCCGAACCTGCCACGTCAGCTGGTAAGTAAAACTGGCCCGGCCCACCAGGGTGCTTACCATGGCAAGCCGCGTGCCGAACGTTGCCGACCCCTGGACTAGAAAGATGATATTTCTTTTTTTAAAGAGATTTTTCTGTACAAATGTAAAGGACATATGAAGCAATATTTCAAAAGAATAAATAAAAGATTTTAAATAGACTGACTGTTGACTGACTAGCTGAAACTTGGCTGAAGGAGGAAACTAAAATATCAGAATATAGAATGTATAGAAGTAACAAACTCAGCAAGACTGTATGGGGTATTGCTACTTTGTTAGGTAAATACAATATTTTTGAGTAAAATTACGTATGTAGGCTGGATAATGTGACAAAGAGAAAATTTAGCTGAAAGAAACAGTGAAACATATTTATAGGAAACTATCAACCTCTAAGGGAGAATAAAAAGATCAGGAAACTTCTGTGTAGGAGAGGTTCAGTAAAGTTAGAACACTGATTGCTGTTGATTTTAGTTACCTTGAAATTAACTTGCAAAGGATTTGAAGAACACTAAGACAGGGAGTGTGTTTTTATACACATAGCACAGTACTATAAACACTTAAATAAACTTAAGGGTAAATAAGTAAACACTTTTCAGCATATTGGAAATGAATATGTTGGCTGTGGAGAAATACTAAATGCGTGATTTATGCATTAATAACACTGCTCTACAGCCAAAATGCTTCTGAAATAAATATAGTCAAACTTTACTAATTCTGGGTCACTGAAAACGAAAATGATGCTTAAAATTGTTGATTGGCTCTAGTTTTCAAGGT